CAGCTATAAACACAGTCTCCACTTGGCTCTGGGACTCCCTGCAGGAAGACTTGGTTCTAATCCCACCACTGCCACTTACTAGACAAGTGACTCAAGCTCTTTGTGCCTCAGTTTCCTCATCTGTCAAAAGGGGTTAATGATAGTAACCACCTCAGTAACCATTGTGCTGGTGTGAGGATTAAATTCAATTCCTTAAATAATACACACTGGCTCCATTTAACAAGGAGGGGGCACGGAGGCAGGGGGCTGGCCAAGCAGAGTGTCAGCACTGTGTCCCCGAGAGCTTTGTCTTTGTGGTGGAACTTTCTGTTGCTAGGCCTGCGGGAGTCCCTCCTCTCCACCCCAGCCTCCTACACATCCCTGCTGTCTATGAGATTTTAAGCCTCTTGAGGGCAGGAACCTGATTCTTCATTTAATTCTCTAGAACTTGGTTGTAGTGAAAACTTAAAATCTTTTGGGTGAATGATCATAAGTGGGTCTTATATTTTTCAAAAACATCATCTCTCATGTAAACAGCCCATAGAACAGACACTGTGATGCAAAGGCTTAGGGCTTTTTACACCTAATCCTCACACTTTTACCCCAGGCAATTCCTTTAGCTACAGGTTACAGGCTTCAGAGAAGGTGGGTACCCTGCCTAGAGTCACCCAGTGGGGCAGTGACATTCTGGAGTCCCAGCCTTACCATCCTCTGGAACTGCTGTTTGCTCTTCCTTTTTTTCCCCCAACCACCTGCCTTCCACATCACTAGGTGATAATGGATTCCTTTCTCCATTTCTGTTATTTACTAAAGCCATATGTAGCCGTCAATCAGAGCGGCTGCTCAGCACAACAGGAGGATTGTCACATTGGGTCCTGTCACTCTGTCCCAAAGCCTGGCAGGCCTGGAAGCTCCACTGGGGCTATGCAGAGGCAGCCAGTGCTGCTGTGGGCCACCCTCCATGCCAGCCCCCACAGCTACCACCAGGCCTCTGCTAGGGCCAAGACAGGGCGTAAAGGATGCTAACTCAGTAACTACTCATTCTGTGCCAAATGCTGGGCTAAGCACTGTACAACAGCCCTGTGGGGTGGGTCCTACTATCAACCTGTTCCAGGGTAGGAAACAGAGGCTCAGAAGGTTTCTGTGATATACTCCATGGCCCACAGCTGGGATTCAAACCCAGGGCTGCAGACTCCCAAGGCCCCACCAGACTGCCTCTGGAAGGACTACTGGGAGTGGTACCCTGAATGACAAGGGTCTAAAGAGATACCTTCGGGGCAGAGCAGGTAGACGGGAAGGGAGGGGAGGGCTGGAAGCCTCAGGAGCTTATGAAGGCAAGAACCCAGCCAGAAGGATAGGGAAGCCTTCCTTGCTGACGCAAGGGTCATGAGATGAAGTGGCTGGGGACAAGGGTGGGGATGGGGCCAGCAAGGCTGAGCAAGGCATGGAACTAGGGCATCTTCCTCAGATTCCACGGCTGCCTACCTTTCTGGCAGGTCTCAGCTTACAAAATGCTCCAGAGCCCTATCTGGGCTGCCGTCACCCTGGAGGACCTCTGCGGCCACTCCACTACCTCCTTCGATTGGAAGGTTCCTAACACAGCCCTGGATGGATGAGCAGAGAGGGGGGACCTTAGAGGTGATGGACACAGCCTGAGGCCACATGGGAGGAGGCACCAAGTCTAGGCTTCGTGACTTGCCACCTCTTGTGCCAGGCACTGGGCCATAGCACTATGTGTTTCACCACCTCTGAGACCCACCCTGAGAAGTAGGAACGGTGATCTCCATTGTATGAGGATGCTGTGGTTGGGCTACTGGAAACCTCCCTGTGACCCTGAGGAAGTCACTACATCTTCCTGGGTCTTGGTTTCCTCCTCTGTAAAGTGGGGCAAGGGGCTGGAGTCAACCTTCAAGGTCTCTCCCAGGAGGAAGTGCACAGCCAGAAGTGTGAGATCAGTGATGGCAGGAGCTGGTCTATCTTCCCTCCATTCTCAGTGCCCCAGGAGACCCTGAAAGGCAGTTCTGCCACCCCAAAGGGCTCAGGACCCCTCAGATATAAGAAGACCAGAGTTGGAAGACCTCTGGGAATCCTTGGATACAGCCTGCCCCTTTCACAGATGGGCAGACTGAGTTTTAGGGAGGGCCAGTAGGCTAGGACGGACACCCAGCTTCCTAGTTCCCAGCCAACAAGGAAAGGCCAGCTCTCAGTCCTCCGTGTGGCCTCTCATGCTCCTGCACTCTGCTCTAGTGAGTGGCTTCCCTGGAGGGCGGGTTCCCTTGGCCCTGCCCTCTGCTCTTAGCAGAGCTCTGGCTCTGATGCTCTGGCTGTGATCCCAGGGCCCTGCTTGGACCCAGGAGGCTACAGGCCCACTTGGACAGCAGAAGCAGAATAGGGGTTTTGTCCTCTATGAGAGCCCGTCTGTTGGCTGTTCACAGCCGGGCCTCGGCAGGGCTGGGCTCGGCTGGCACAGTAAAGCCTTGTTTCCTTGAATACAAAATCTGCAGCTTGTCACCCTCACCCGGGCCCCCGGCGGGCGGCACTTCCTTCCCTAGAAGTCCAGCTTCCTGGCCTCTTCCTGTCTGCCCTCTGCAACAGCCCAGCAAGCAGTGCTGGTGCCAAGAGGTGGCTGGAGGGTCGTAGCTCCCCTCCCCATTCTCCATCCAAGTACTCCTTGTCAAACTAGCACCAAAACAGCCTGTGCAAAGTGAGATCGCGGTGCAGATGCAGCTTCCAGCCTGGTCCCCAGCTGTGTTCCCCTTCCAAGCAAACTGCAGTCTCCTAAGTCCTGCTCTGGGGTGCCTGGATTCTCCCAAAATAGCTCTACCTTTTTTTGGCTGGGGGGACAGGTAGGGATGCTGTGGAAGAAGCAACGTGGGCTGGTGGCAGGTATGTGGGGTGCAAAATCCGTCGTGAACGTGGAAGGGGTGCTGGAGCGTGTTGTCTAACGTGAAAGCAGATTGTCTGTGACAGGAAACCCAGATGGGAAGAACATGGATTTTGGAGGCACACACCTGGGTTTGAATCCTGACTACAATTTTCTAGCTGTGCGGTTTTTGTAAGTTACTTAACTCTCCACCTGCAGGGTGGTGGGATGAAGAGTGCTAAGTCATGGGGCTGTTGGGAGGACATCAGAAGCTCCTTCACATCTCAGCGCTATCAACACAGGGATCTCTGTCCTGTTAGAATCACCTCTGCGCTTCCCCACAAGACAGACTCTACAAGGAAGTTCCAGACAGTGATCCAGGCCACTTTCCAGCTATTCTTGGAATCTTGAAAATCCCGATCTGCCAACCTTGTCCGTCTTTGGCTGGGAGGAAACTTTGGAAAAACCCTAACCACAACCCTGGAGGCAAAGAGGTGGGCTCCTCAGTGCCCTGAGGCTTCTGTGCAGGTCCCAAAGGGATAGGGGCAGGGACTGACCTTTGGGAAACCCCGGGGCTCCTCAGTCACCCCAGGCTGAAAACTAAATACCTCTTCTGCATTGGGGCCAAATGCAGAAGCTGCAGCAGGTGGTGAGAAGTGGGAAAGAACCTTCCGTAAGCTGTGGGTTGCACAATGCCCCTCCTTGGGTTTCCTGCTTCATGCCTGGGCATTGACAGCTGTGTGTGCCTGAGGCTAACACCCTCGGCCTGTCCCCCAACCTCCTGTCCAGCCAAGGTGGCGCCAGACTTGTCACACCCCTCTCTTGGCCTTGGGCTGCCTGCGCCCAGTGGGCTGGACTTCCCGACTCACCCAAGGGTTAGCCTCAGGATGGTTCTATTCCCTTCTAGCTCCACACCAGACCAGCACCTCCCCAGGAGCCAGGGGCAGGCAGAGGGACAGGGAACAGGAGGTGGGGAGGGTACCAAAGGGAGGGGACTGGGCACCTTCAGCCCCTGGGCACAAACATGGCTAGGAGGGAGTGTGGCCAACCATCTCAGTGCCAACAGGGTAGGAACCAGGGGCGGATCAGAAGGGGAGCTGGAGCCCTCTCTCTCTGGTGGGGTCCAGCTGGTAAGTCTGTTTATTTTTGGAGGGCTGACCCACAGGCCTGGGAAGCCTGTCTGACCCTGTGAGGGCACAGCATGTGGAATCATACAGAACAGAGGGTAGGGGTGGGAGTAACTGGGCAAGTCAGAGGGAGGGACCCCTTCTGGCTGGAGAGGGTGCGTGTGCAGGCATCAGAGGTCCCCAGGGGACAGGGCTTGGGACAGAAAGCAGTGACTGCAGGGGGATGGTATGGGCAAGAAACGGAGGTCAGACTTCTGAGGCCAGAGGGGACTCAGGCCTGCAGGGATGGGGGGAGGGAGGTTTACATGCCTGTAGAGTGGGACACAGGGGTCCTGGGGTCCTTCCCTAGGGAGACCAATGTGGGTCAAGGCTTCGAGTCCTGGTGGGTCTGGGCCAGTGTTTGCCCCCAGTTTGCTATTTAGAATAACTAGAGGGAAGTGGGAGGGTGTCCGGGCCCAAGACTCACCTTGAGGAGGGTCTGAGACAAGCAAACAAAAAGACCCCAAAGAAAGGAATGTGGTTGGCATGGGGTGCAGTAATGGTCACCCTTGAAAGGCAGCAGAGGTGGGTGTCTTTGACCAGGGTGTGTTGGGGTGGGGAGGACTCCAGTAGCTGGGCTAGGGGAGAAGGGAGGGTCCTGGGTCCCCAGTCTCAGTGTGTGCGCAGTTGGGGAAGCGTCACCAACTGGGCACAGGTCCCCGGACAGCATATGTGGCGGTGGTGGTAGGACTCGCTAGGGCTAGCAGTTACCTGGGATCGGCGGGGTTCCCCTCTCCATGTGCACGCCTATGGTCTACCGAGCGCGGGGCGCACCACCACGAATATAAGTCGCGTGCCAGGGGCGGGGACTCCAGACCCTTAATGCGTGGTGGGGTGGTGGGTAACGATCTGGAAGGGGCCGCAGGGTCCTAACCCTGGTGTATCGGGGTTGGGGGCTCTTAGCTGGCGCAAAGGGTGCCGGGGTGGCGCGGGGTCCCAGAATCAGGGGGTTCGGGGCCCGAGGCCGGGTCGCGGGGCGGGGGGCCACTCACTGCTTGAACATCTTCTCCATGTCCTTGATCTGCTTCCTGGAGAACTCCTTGAACTCGGTGTAGGGGTTGAAGACGCGACGGCTGGGCGACTGGGGCTCGCCGATGCCCTGGTTGAGGTCGGCGCGCCGCAGCAGCTTGGCGCTCAGCTCTTCGTCCGCACTGCCCAGCGCCTCGTCGGGCGCCCCGGCGGCCGCCGCCGCAGCCCCGTTCAGCCCCGGCTGCTCCGCAACGTCGCCGCCGCCCTCGCCCTCCATCTGCAGCCGCCGGTTCAGCTTGGTGGCCAGCTCGTCCGTGGCCATGGTGGCCCGCGCGGCGCTCGCCTCGGCCCGGCCCCTGCTCGCGGCTCAGCGCACAGCCGCCGGCCGCGCTCTTCCTCTTCCTGACACTCCCCGGCGCCAGGCGCCGCCCCCGAGGGTGGGACTTGTGCCCCCGGCGGGGACCGCCCGCCCCGCCCCCCCCCGCCCCCGCGCGTGATTTCTCCTGGTAACTGAGGTTCAGGTGGGCAGGGCGCTCAGAGCCCGCGGTGGTCTCTCCCTGTAAGGCTGGGTGGGGGGCCGTAAGAACCGATCCCCTCTGTTCATCCTCCTTGTGGCCCCTGAGCGGGAGGTCAGGGCGGGGGCCGGGGCGGGAAGGAGAACGGCTTCCTCCCCCGCAGTTTGGGTGTGGGTCCGGGGCTGAGATGGGGACCACCCCTCCAACCCGTTCTCTGGAATCCCCACGCAGTGAAGTCGTAATCTTGTGTCTGTGACACCCTGTCGGTTGCCATGGAGACGATTCGATGTTAAACACTGGCATTCTCAATGAGGGTTGCCAGGGGTATGAAGAAGGTGGACCTGGGGAGCCTGGAACCCCAGTTTGGATTGCGCCGTGGCCACAGCTGCTGCAATCCTTCGGAAAAGGATAGACCAGTAACTTCGAGGGAGATGGGGCTGGGCTTCCCCCGGGAACTTTATCCCCCCACCCCTGTCCCCAGCGGGAGAGGGAAAGGGGAAGGAAGAGTCTGGTCCTCCCGCCTGCACCATCGCAGAGATGCAGAGATGACTTGGCAGATGAGCTGCCGGGCCCGGGCTGTCTCCAGTGCCTCCGCTTGGGGGGAATTAACGGGGAGATTTTGATGTTGCCTTTTTGATGGGGGCCCCAGAGGAGAGATGTCCTGCCCAAAGGCCTGTAAGACATGGCTGGGGGAAGAGTTCAGAGAGAATGTATCTTTGTGGTTTAGCCTGTCACCTTAACACTGCAAATCCGTGGATCTCCAGCGCCAGAACCACTGCGGCACTGAGCAATAATGCAGATTCCCAGGCCCCAATCCAGACAGTCAAAACCGATCTCTGGGATGGGAACCAGAAATTTGCATTTTATTTTATTTTTTGACATAGCATCTCCTTCTGTTGCCCCTGCTAGAGTGCAGTGGCCTCAGCCTAGCTTACTGCGATGTTAAACTCCTAGGTTCAAGCCATCCTGCTGCCTCAGCCCCTGGTTTGCTGGAACTACAGGTGCCTGCCACAGAGCCCGGCTAGATTTTTTTTTTTTTTCTGTTTCTAGTAGAGATAGGGTCTCACTCTTGCTCAGGCTGGTCTTGAACTCCTGAGCACCAGGGATCCTCCCAGCTTGGCCTCCTGGGAATCTGCATTTCTACAAGCACCCAGGATAGTTCTTGTCACTAAAATTTGAGACTCACTGATCTGGAAGGAGAACTATGCTTTGGGTGCGTTTTTTAAAATGTTAGGACAATATTGAGGAGCCCTATGTAGAAGAAACCATACCCACCAGTCAAACTGCTTGCAGGCAGGCAGCGTCTGAGAACAGAGGGCCAGCAAGCTGGAACGAAGGGATTGGCACAGAACGGACACTTCATTGATATTTGTCAGTTTGCTGTGTTTAAGAACATTGCTGGATTAATTTATTATAAAAGGTTATTTTTAAAAGAATGAAATTGAGAAAAATTCCCATTAAGGTTCAGAACAATGTGAAATTTTCTTTACTTGTTTGTGAGATTGTTTCTGAGTCCAATAAAGATGCTCAGCTTAAATGATTTTGTTTTTTTAAGGCTCCAAATTAAGTTCCTGTTAGTCTCTGGCAGTGTGGTCCAGCTACTTTTTTTTTTTTTATTGAATGGTAACTATGTATATTAATGCACTTCTGGGGTACAGTGTGGGGTTTTCACACACAATCTGAAACACTTCCATCAAACTGGTTAACACAGCCTTCATGTCATTTTCTTAGTTATTATTTTAAAACGTTCACATTCTACTCTTAGAAAGATTCACTTGTACCCTTGTAAGATAAACCTCAGAAGTGATCCCCTCCAATCCCCCTCCCTCTACCCATTCCCCACTTCCCTCTCCCTCTCCTCCCCGTATTCTTAGGCTGTTATTAGGTTATAGCTTTCATATAAAAGGTATAAATTAGTTTCATAATAGGGGTGTGTACATTGGATACTTTTTCTTCCATTCTTGTGATACTTTGCTAAGAAGAACATTTTCCAGCTCCATCCATGTGAACATGAAGGACGTAAAGTCTCCATCTTTCTTTATGGGCTACTTTTTTTTTTTTATTGCAGTTTTTTTTTTTTTTTGGCTGGGGCTGGGTTTGAACCTGCCACCTCCAGCATGTGGGACCAGTGCCCTACTCCTTTGAGCCACAGGTGCCACCCTACTCCAGCTACTTGCGAAAGGCAGGTTTCCATATCTCCCATGTGTGGCTTTGAAGGACCCAACCGAAGTAAAATAGTTTGTTATTTAATGAATGAATGTAAAGGAATATGGTGTAGATTGCAATGTTTGAAATGATACTGGTTAGATGCTTGGGTTTGCCACATCTCTCTTTCTCACAAAGCAGCTAATTACTTTCGAAACTCTGGCAAGCCCCAGTTTACCCAAATTTATGATTTCTAATGGTTCGGCGTGACACAGGGAAGCCTTTTTTTGTGAAATGTTTTGTATCTGACGCGGAAACAAACTTAACAGTGAGGAGATTATGTGGGGGTTTTTGCCTTCTTGGAAAACAACTTACATCTACGTGAAAAACCTGGGGTTTGGGGTGGAATTACTTGGACGGACTGTATGTGTTCAACTCCCAGCTGAATTACCTTTTTCCTGTGTGGACATAACCTTTGGGAGGGAAGGTGGGCCCCCTGAGCACAGGTAGGGGAATTCCTGTTCATTATCTATTGTGTTTGGTAAAAGGGCCACTGAATGCCAGGGCTGCTGCTATTAAACTCAGTAAATGCTCCCCGGATGGGTGAGTCCTTTTCACACCTCTTGGGTTGATTTTTCACCAGTTTTCAGCGTTTGCAAAGCTCTGAGGGTGGTGACTACAGGGTGACACCACAAGCGGCCCAGTGCTCTTCCTGGTTTCAGAGGCTGTAGGTCCAGACCTTGACTATAGAGATAACTATTAATTTGTTTTCAAGCCAGAGATGCACCCCGGGGGTTACATTTTATTTAAACTTTTTTTTTTTTCCTTCTGAAGTCCTTGCACTTCAGGAAAAGCGCTTTTTAGGGAATCTAAAGAAGTCGTGAATGAAGGAAAAACAGAGAAAACGAATGAATCCTGATTGGAGGTGAACCTTCCAGGAAAAATCAGTTGCCTCTTGATTCCAGGAAATCACTTTAGAATGACCCTGAAGCCTGTGCCCCAAGCATAGATTGCAGCATAAAGAAATGATCTGGACTGGTGACACATTACAGCATTTGGTCATGTGGAAAGAATGATCTTCAGGAAAAATCACACCCTCGGTGAAGGATTTTTACAGAGACAGTGGCGAAACAGCGCCAGTTCTGACAATATTCCAGTGGCAAGGGAGCCAGGCAGACTGAGTCACCATTACTTATGTTTGTCTCCCTTCCACACCTACTTGTATAACTGTCTTTTGGGGAGGGGCGAAGTAATATTAAGAAAAACAACCTCACTTTGAAAAGGGAGGGAGCGACACTAGAAAGGAAGACAGCTGTGGGCAGAGCTCTTGGGTGCTGGGGAGATGGCATGAAGTGTAGAGGGCATCGCAGAGCCCAACAACGCTGGGTGGTCCCCCCAGCCACAGCCCCGCATGCTGAGAAAACCAAGAAGGGATTTAGGGAGGCTGTCAAAGATAAAGTTGTATTCCTAAAACGCAGTGCTCACTTAGCCCTTTACAAATACCAGCTTACTAATTAATCATTGCAAACACTCTATCACCATCAGGAAAGCCTTGATGAATGGAGGAAGGTGCACAGAGGTCGAGGTTCAGGGGCAGCACAAATATTGGTTGGGAGCAATCTGAGTGAGTGCAGGATGGGGGTCACAGCATGGTTGGCCTCAGAGGTGGTCTCTTTTCTCCTAAGCCCTGGAAGCCCTGGAAAGGTGCCTGGAGGGGAGGAACTGACGTTAGGCAGGCATTTATAAGGTGGGATGGGGGAGGGGTGTGGAGTCAGGAGGAAAGGGGGTGATGATGGGGTAGGAGCCGCAGGTAAACCCATCATTAGAAACCAACTTACCTGTGGAGCTCTTTTTTTGTGGTTATCTTGGATACTGTGAACCTACTTGAAAACCAAGATGGTCTTTCAAATTAGTTGCAGATGCCCAGCTGGGCACGTTTTCTGCTTCACAGTCATAGGCAGTTAGTTCTGGGTCCAAGTTTAACACCCTGAGAAGCCCCAGGCTTGCTCCCAAAGAGTAGAGCATGTGTGTTTGGGGAGGGGGTAGGTATCTTAAAATTCAGCATTGCTGCTCCTGCGGCACCCTCTTGGACCCCTTCCAAAGGTGGTAATAATACCAGCAGCTAATTTTGATTTTTATACTTGCAACAGCTACTCTGTGAAAGCAAGGTGCTGCCATGTCCGGACACATTTATTAAGTGTGCTGGGCACTGGTCCTGGAAGTTGCAGGCAAGCAGGGGACAGGGTGGTGGGGGCTGGAATAGCTCTTCCAGCTAAAGCCCCTTGTGGTTGGGACCCAGCACTTTTCATCGTCTATAACGAGGTATTAATAAAATATCTGTCCTTCCCAACACAACTTCCACCGGGAGGAGGCCTGTCTGGTTCAATTTTGGATCCAGTGCCTGGCAGGGTACCTGGCCTGGGGCTAGTACTGGAAAAATATCTCTTGAATGAATGCATGATTCATTCATGCTCTGCCTGAGGGCTGGGACGGATTGGGTGTTCTCTCAGTGACTCTTCCAGAGCATCCGGTGGCCCATTTTTAGGTCTCAAGGTCATTGCCAAGAAAGAGAAGCCGCTAAAGTGACACCTCTGTGTACCCACATGACTCAACACAAAGTGAACAGGAGCTCTTAAAAAACAAGGCTCTCAAGTGTCTGTCCCCTGTCTTCTCTGAGGACAGCGTCAGCAGCATCAGATATGGGTTGAGGCCCAGTGACCTGCTGGTCCTTGGGCATCACTGTG